TCTCTTAAAACAGGTAGAAATAACAATGCTAGTACTAAATGCTATTACTTGAACATTAAAGGCAAGTTTTTCTTGACCAAGAGAAGCATTTCTGCATTGTCACCAGTTAATCGGTTTCTCCTTTCATCTACCACATGTCCAGCCAAGCTAAACAAGCGCTCACTTTCGACAGTTGTACATGGACCAGAGAGATAGGCTTGGGCAAGTTGAGCAAGTGCAGGGTAACGATCTTTGTTGATCCTCCAGTAGGTCAAAGCATTTTCGCCTCTGCTGCTGGGCAACTCGGCGCGCTAGCTTTAGCCACTTTCCCCTTTTCAAACTGGGCATATTCAGCTAAATGATAGCGTTTTAAGTGTCTTATTAGGTTTGTTGTTCCGAACGTTTTTGAGCTTGTTCCCCCACGATGTATTTTTGCTTTACAAACGTTACAAACTGCGATCTTTGTGTCATCTCCACTCACAGAAAAGAACTTCCACACCAACGACATGTTATCACCAGACTGTGAGTGTGCGCGTAGTTGTGACGTAATTGCCTGCGCTGCTGCTGGCAATAAAAGGATCGGCAGACGTGAGACTGACCGGCCGGTCACCGATGTGGGTCGATCATACAAAAAATCGGCCGATTCCGATCACTAGCCGGTCAATCGGTGCATCTCTAATTTAAATAATACATCCCCATCTAGTTGGCATCCAAAACAATCACTTAACACTCAAATTCTGAATACAAAACACAGCACCTTAGCATCCAATGCAAATAATTTTTCTATGCATCCACCCACCAGCAATACAAACCCTAAAATCAGAACATACATCCCTCTATAAATGTAAAGATCTTTTTATACGAGTTAACAGTAAATCCTACCTTCTAGCTGAGACGTCTCTGTCATTTCCCCTCCATCTGTTGATGTGTTCATTGAACTACTATCAAAGCAAAACAAAAGTTAGATATTAAACCCAATTGCTGATCAGAGTCTGCAGAAAACTGCGGAACATTCTTATGCCTAATTAAGACACACCACATGCAAAGGTATTGCCCTACGAGTCTGTCAGCTATTCTTTGCCACAGTACTGTGTCAAGAAATCAGTTTACATGCATTCTTCTTTGGCCATTTAGCCAAAAAAAGGCATGGATGACAATAAATGGTTTAGTGGTTTGATTACAATCATGTGTGACTGCCTGAGCATGGCTCTCAGAGCTAGCTTAGCTTTGAGCTAATTGAGGTAATAGCCTTATTGCTAAATCTCTCCAGACTAAAGGCAAAGTTTACTCTGGGCTGGCTTCTCCTTCAGTCAGCAGGGTGACGTAGGTCCTAGGAAACCAGCCCCGGGCCCCGCTGAGCTCCCCCTGCCACCAATTCTCCTGCTGCTCCAATACAGTGATGACATCATCCTTGGAGAAATTCAGGTGACTGTCCTTCTTTGCCGTCCAAGAGCACAGTGCCTGGGCCTGGAGGTCACCCACAACCTGAGAGAAATCACCAATAATCAAGCCTTCCTGGAAAAATGCTATATAGAGTCAACAGCCATCACAGTCCTGTTTCACTGCACCAAAGGGTAAATTTGCATATAGCAGTAATTTCTTGCAACAGCCTATGTATACTTTGTGTACTGTACTGAATTCTTTATTCTTACTACCACTTACAGTTTATTGCTCTGAACTAAAGCTGTTCATTAAATACAGAAATACACCTGCTTAGAATTGTCAAATGACACTTATTTACAATTATTTTGACTACATGATAAAAATCAGTTGATTGTTCTATCAGTTCATTTCTGCTCATGAGTCAATTAAAAGCAGATTGAAATCAAGGCAAATCAGTTACACTCAAGTCACCATGTGGGGACAAGAGTATAACAATTTAATTACTGAGTTAATTAAGCAGAAGTGAATTTATTATTAAGTTTAATTATATGCAATTAATTATAGAACGAGCCAAGTATTTAAAGTGCTGACAGTCCATGGCGTGCCGCGAGTGGGGTCGTCTGCCATCAAGTCGACCAGCCAGGTGACATGGACCTCGGCATTTCCTGACCTGTGACTGCTCCTCAGTGGACACACGCGGCATATGGGTCGGAGAGAAGGTGGAGCTCGGCCTCCTGGTGCTGGGGGTGCCGGCCTCCGTCTCCACTCTGCAGGAGCGCAGAGAAGCGCAGGTGATGTTCACAGGAGTGAGGCGTGGGAGGCGAATAGCACAGCTAGCACAAGTCCAAATCCAAAAATAGCATGTTGCGAAGCACTTGTTTGTTTATGTTCTGCAAAGGCCATTAGCCACCAAAACACCAGCAGCTATTGGAGAAAACCAGCTTTACACTAGAATGATAAACTCGGGGGAAAAAAAATACAATGAACAACAAAAATGATGAGTGATGGTTGTTTGTAATTTGCCGTTTGCCTCACTTGTACGTCGCTTTGGACAAAAGGGCCTGCTAAATAAAGTCAGTGTCATAAAAGAACCATTATGATGAATTATGATGAATGCTACAGAACACCATGAGCCAAAACAAAGAAGCACAAGAACAGTTTATACTGACACGCCATACCTCAAGAACCCAGGCGCAACGTTACCCTGCCTTACCCCATTACCTGTCAGTGGCATCGTTACCCCACATCACCCCGTTACCCCACATCACCCCGTTACCCGTCAGTGGCACCGTTACCCCACATCACCCCGTTACCCGTCAGTGGCACCGTTACCCCGCATCACCCCGATACCCATCAGTGGCATCGTTACCCCACATCACTCCGTTACCCCACATCACTCCGTTACCCCACATCACCCCATTACCCGTCAGTGGCACCGTTACCCCGCATCAGCCCGTTACCCGTCAGTGGCACCGTTACCCCACATCAGCCCGTTACCCGTCAGTGGCACCGTTACCCCACATCACCCCGTTACCCGTCAGTGGCACCGTTACCCCACATCACCCCGTTACCCCACATCACCCCGTTACCCGTCAGTGGCACCGTTACCCGTCAGTGGCACCGTTACCCGTCAGTGGCACCGTTACCCCGCATTACCCCGATACCCGTCAGCGGCACAGTTACCCGTCAGCGGCACAGTTACCCCACATCACCCCGTTACCCAGATAAATTCTGTGTGAGAACATACATGGCTAATAAACCTGATCCAGAACTGATTAACATCAAATAATTTTGTTTTTCATTTCATCCATAAGCAGCCAAAATGTCTAACGTTTAAGGCAAACCAGGGGTTGGAAGAGGGAGGATGCCAGCACAGAGAATGGAGACTCACATGGTGGGCAGGGTCTGGGGCACCAGGGCCTGCTGGACACGGGACAGTTCCTCTGGCTTAGACCCTCTGCCCACGTAGGTCTCTGGGAACCAGCCTGTCTTACCCCGGCAACTGCCATACAGCCAGCCCTGCTCACCTTCCGTTGTTTTGTCCACCTAGTGGGCAGGAAAAAATAATAAGACAATGACAATTTTGATGGTTTATTTCACCATATGCACAAGTATGAGCATAGGTACAATGTAATGCTTCTATTCACATATCTGAATATGGGGTCCGAGCACAGGGTCAGCCTATTATCCAGCGATCCTAGAGCACTATGGGGCACTAAGGGCCTCATTCATGGGCCCAACGGACATGTGACCTGCTGAGCCACACATCACCAGACAAAGATGTGTCAGAAGTGGGCTACTAAACCACTAATTGGTAGCACAGCTTTAAAACCACTGACTATACAGCAAACAAAAGAGGTTCTTAGAAGTACACAAGACTACACATTTACTCAATCTGACACTTTCAACCAAAACACCTTTTTTTTTTGTGGGTAAACCCTTGGATTTGAACCCATGACCGTTGCATAGTTAGCACAATGCTTTGCTTGTTCAGCTACAGGAGCACAAACATGTTACCGTGCTGCATACATGGGCTGTGACAGATGTACCCTAACAAGGAAAAAGCCAGCTAATATTCTTCATTCGTAAGTCACATGACTGGGCGCACCTCTATAAGGTCATCAGCCTCAAAGGTCAGCTCGTCTACAGTCCGTGCTGCAAAGGGGTACAGAGCTCTGTAGGTCGTCAAAGTCTCAGGTTCCATGTGTGCAGAAGTGACGGATGCTAAAGCATCTGAAACAGACAATTAAACCATCATTGTTCTCATGATGCAAGTTCAGATATCCATGATTTGTATCCTTCTTGTACTATTTGTGCATAAAGGATAACCCTTGGCCCTGCACACCATGCAGTTAAATATTTCTGTGTGATCACAGAATAAACAATCCAGTTCTGAAAAATCATTTTTGCATCGTTCTCTACCAGGGGGCGGAGCCCATCATGGTTGAATTGGGAGAGTGCCACCTTCCTCCCAGCCTTAGCTCCAGGCTAGCTAAAACACTTTAATGACTTTGTAAATTTTGTTCCTGGGTGGATACTGGCAAGGGCAAGATGAGCAATTGCCCCGGACCGCATCTTCTGAGAGGGAGCCACCTTCCCCCCCAGCAAGCTGCAAAGTCGGAGCAACCCCTGGCACCCAGCACCCCAGATAAAATGAAAGCGGTTAGTGTAGTTTGCTGGGGGGGTTGAGGTTGCCAGGTATGCCGGCAGTAAAGCCTGCCTAGGCTGCTACACGGCCTTCGAGCGGCACCTTCAGGCACCTGTCCCGGCCAGCCAGGCCTTTTACCTCTTCCATCCTCACGAGTCCCTGTCACCACATCATTTTGCGGTTGTGGTGCCGCCACATCGCCTCCTCGTCCATCAGAGACATCCTCCTGCGGCTTTTCCTCTTGTTTCCTTTCCTCTTCTTTCGTCTCCTTCCCTGCCTCCCTCCCTTTCTCCTCCTCCTCCTCCTCCAACGGCCAACGGTCACCGTCCACCTGCTTCCTGGCCGCTTGCAGGCGATCCTGGAACTCCTCTGCTTGGAGTTTGGCCTCCCTCTCCTCCCTCAGGTGCCTCTGGCGAGCCTCCTCATCTCGCTGCAGTTTCTCCTGCCACTGCCGGTCCTTCTCCATCTTAGCCCTCCTGCATGTTATTTTGTCGGTAACAAGACAACTTTAAAAAAAAGTATGATCTGTATTTACATTTATGTGTACACACCAACACAAACCTCAATGATAAACAGCGACAAAACTGTTCATTTGGTATTTGACAGATTACTCTGCGCAGTACTAGGGATGTCCCGATGCAACGTTTTAACTTCCGATACGATACCGATACAAATCCGATACAATAATCAGCACAAATCATGAATACTTTTACCCATTTCGTTGTGTGGAATGTATGAACGGGTAGATCAAACTGAGAACAAGTGTCAGCAACAGTAAGTATGGAAAAAGACGACCAATTTATTAACTATTGGCTGCATAAATGTGAACCTTTTACATAAGAATATATAAAAAAGAATTAAAGAATAAATATTAAGACCCTGAAAAATATCTTAATTAAATAAACAAAAATATATTTTTTAAAGTGCAAAATACTAATTAAAGGTCACTTCAGTTATTTATTTTTTACCGTCAGCAAATGGTAGGAACAGCTGAGAGCAGGAACATAAGAAAAAAAAAAATATTGCAAATTGACCAACTACTAAAGGTTGAATGTCCAAAGTTTCAATTTCACACACGCTGCCCGAAAGAATGAGATCGTTGCATTTACTATCCACAAAAAATAGTGCAAACAAAATAAATATAACTCTAATGAAAAATACTGTCACACGGCCGACATCGGTCTTTTTCTTTGCTACTTCGCTAGCAAGCAGTGTTGTGATCACGTGGGCTTTGCACGCTGGCTCTGGACGCTGCTGGATAGAATAGCTGTAACGGAGTTTAGAGCAGAACGGACTGCTTATATCGGAGATTTTTAACGCAGTCCAATATAATCCGATAGAGTTTTTTTGGGCTGATATCGGACCTATTTCCGATATCAATATCGGATCGGGACATCCCTACGCAGTACAATGTTTAGTATATTATCACTACTAGAGTTGGGTCTTTTTTTGTCTAACCATGGGAAAAAGAGACGTGTAAACCAGTGATGTCACCACCCCCTAAAATACCACAAAGTAATGTTAAGGCAGCCAGCAGGTCACCTGATTGCCTCCTCTTCCTCCTTCCGTTTCTCAAAAAGCCGCTCTCGGTGTCTCTGCAGCTCGCGGAGTTTGCCCTCCTTGACGATGTACAGCTTGTCCAAGGCTGACTGCTGCTTCCTCTGGCTCTCTCGCAGCTCCTGAGATAACAGACACACAGCCATCAGCAACGGGGCCACCGAAGGGGGGGGGCGCGCACACCTGACACCTCTACATGACCTCTGCTACCCAAACATCAGAGAGACAGGCCTACTTGCCCGGGAGACAACAGGCCTTCACTTTCAAAGCATAAAAAAAAAAATGGAAGCAGGACATGATAAATAATTAAACGCACATTAAACAACAGAACATGTGATAATCCTCTTAATTACTGATAATCCGCTCATTATCAGATAATTACCAACCAGTAGCTAGCATTGTGTAGGGGAGCTAAATCTTCAATAGTTACAGCGATTGTGCGTTAAACATCGTTGCTATAATAATATTATTATTATTCCAATTTGTACATTTACCGTACCCAAAATATAATGCAGATATTAAAACTTTTGTTTTTATACACTGGTATTGACAAATGTCCAAACTGTACGACAGGGTTAAGTGTGAGAAAAATGAGTTAGGGTGACCTTGATGAGGAGGAAGAGATTGCTAAGACAGCCCAGCAAAGACAGAAGGCCCTGAAGCACACAGTCGTCCATATCGTCAGACTGCAGGGGAAGCGAGGGAAGAAGAGAGAAAGAGAAAGAGAGAGAGATAAAGATAGAAAAAAGGGCACTAGCAGAAAGTTCAAAAAGAGGGAAACAAGCTGAAACGTTAGCATTTCCACATTTAGCATCATACACACAGTTTACAGTTAGCTTGTTAGTTCGTAACAAGGGCGTTTTCCTGCTAATGTGCTTGATTGCTTGTGCATTCATTCTGTGAAGGAGCCGACGGCCGGAGACTTACAATAGAGTGAAAGCAGAATTTCAGGTCAGACAGCATTGTTATCTGACCTACATAGCTTAGCATTTCAGCAGTGCTAAATCACTGGGACAGACCCGGGGCAGTGTTTATCTAAAGGTGGCTATGTTACAAAGACTGACAGGGAGAGGATGCCACGTCAACCTTATGTATTTATTCAAGCTGCGCGTTCCTGAGGCCATTAGCTACACCAGCAATTAGCAGCCAGAAATTAGAGCCTCGATGCTGGAGCGAGTGTTACAGCACTTCAAATAACCACAAGCCTGGCAGCCCAAATCTCTCTTAGGGAACAAATCTACACATTTCAGGAATACAGAATAAGGAAATTTAAATTGACCAGTGCTCACTGATGCAGAAGGAGTAGATAAAAAACAGTTATAATATTAGCCTATAAAAAAAAAACCTTTACAGAACTGTACAGGAGCAATGCATTCTGGGAAAAACAACATTTGAATGCAGTCTGAGAAAACATGTGACATCTTATTCCTAAATCTACCTTGATGGTCTTGTTATAATCGTCCATCTCCAGAAGCTTTGCTGACGTCTCCTTCTCTAGGGCATCCAGCTGCTCCTTCAGTTTCCGACATGTTATGTCCTTGTCTTCCACACTTTTCTTTAAAGTTGCCATAGATGATACTATGGAGAACATAAAGAGAGGCCACGCTTTTTTGAGCAGACTCAAGTTTTGCTGCTGTTCACTACAATGGGAATTGCAAGAGATCAGTCTTACTGGGGAGGTTGTCAAAGCCGATGTTGTTCAGTTTTTCCTTCAGCCTATGATGTTCTGGAACCAGCAGAGAGAGCTTCTTTTGATAGTCCTAGATTTCAAAAAGGAAAAATCAGACCTGGAATGCTGAAAAGCTCTTCTAATTTCAGCAGCTAGTGTAGCTGAAGACTCTAATGGGAATCTAATGAGCCACATTCAAAATGCTAAGTAACTAACTGTCTGCTAGCACATATGTCTAATTATTGACACGAAAGAACTTAAACATGCTCTATGTGAAAACTGCAGCCAAAGCATTATTACAAAATAATCAGTGCTGGGAATTTCAGGTCCAAAAACTACTAATCCAGACTAGAGGTCGACCGATATATCGGCCGGCCGATATATCGG